CCGTCCACCGCGCGGCCCTGGGCGCTGGCCCTCTGCCCCTTTCTTGGCGGACCTTGTAACCATCTCTGTTTTCATCTCTCTTTTCAAAGAAAGTTGGAAAATTCTCTCAGAGCCCAGCCGGTGTGCCTCAGTGGATGAGCGCTGACCTACAAACCAGGAGGTCAGGGTTCGATTCCTGGTCAGGGCACAAGCCTGGGTAGCGGGCTCGATCCCTAGTATCGGCATGCAGGGGGCAGCTGATCCATGATTGCCTCTCACCAGTGGTGTTTCTATCTCTCCCTCTCCCTTCCTCTCTGAAATCAATACAAGTATATTTAAAAGTTCTCTCATAGGTACTTCTGGCTCCTTCCCAATACGCCTCCCCCTATTCTGACAATACCAGGGCGCCGATGGTGTCAGAGTGGCCTGGACCCTGAAGCAAGACCCTCCCTGCCTGTGAGGGAAACCCTGGCAGGGCTGGCCCCTCCCACCGCGAGGACTGGCAGCCGCCCCACGGCCAGGGGGGGCCAGGTGAGTCGCCCCCTCCTGCGGGGTCACAGGAGCTTCAGGCTCCTCCAGCGGGAATGAGGTCAGGGTTCCCGTTTGAGCCCCGGCTGGAGCGGGACCCTCTTCTCTAACAGGTGGAGCAGGATGTGTCTCAGCTCCCGCTTCACCCCAACTCTGAGTCGCCTGCATCCGGCTCCCTCTGTTACCTGAGACTCAGGTGAGCTGCGAATGGGCTCTTCTTAGTACAGAGTGAGATTTTAAATAATTGATTCTCACCTCACGGGAATGACTTAGAAAGGGAAGGGAGTGTCTGCAAGTGCCCGCGAAGGAAAACGGAGATTAGAATGATGACCCGAGACAAAGGGATAGTTAATCTTTGTTGTATTTGCCCGCCTACGTGTCATTAGACGACATTCTAGAAACACGACCCTCAGAAGAGAAGTCTTCGTTGCTGAAAATGGCAAATCGAGCCGGAGACAAAAATAATTAAATAGCAAAGTGTATTTCTCAGAAATGCAAAGGTCCTACTATGACCCAAACGTGGCCCATGCAACGTCCTGTCTCAGAAGATCCTGACTGTGTGCAGGCCTGTGCTGAGCTCCGAGGAGCCCACGTGACAGTCACAGACCCTCCTGACTGTGTGCAGGCCTGTGGTGGGATCCGTGGAGCCCACGTGGCTGACTGTCACAGAACAGCAGCTCACACACCCGCAGTCCCCGCCCGTCCTGCAGTTGGGGACCTGATTGGTCAGTTCCATCACAATAACAATGTTCTAAGGTGACTGGGAACAAAGCCACGAAGTTACATAAACACCTGCAATTCCCGGGGCCATGAATTAAAGTTCCTTACACCGAGGGCAGCTCCGAAGGCCACTGATGCTGCCTGACCTCAGCCTATGACTGAAGAGAGAAACCCGGGCCCATAGCATGTACTTTAATGTGGGCACGTGAGCGGGAATGTCTTACTGGGCATGTTGTTAGCATGTGGCTAGTCAGCACACAGGCATTTCCGAGGCAGGAGCCTGGGTGAGCAGTTCCCGCAGAACCCCACGTTCTCTGGGGGGCGAGTCACGCCACCCTTTCTTGGTGACACCGCACATGGCAGCACACGTGTGTGTCACACAGAAGCCCTGGCGCAGGGACACGGAGCAGCAAGCATGACTTACTGAGCGCGGCCTGGACCTTGATGGCGTCCGACTCCTGCGAGTTCTCGCTGGTCCCCACGGCATTCACCGCTTTCACGCGGAACATGTACTGCTCACCCGTGGTCAGGCCGTGCACCACGAACCTGGGGAAACAGGGGGCATGGCTGCCGGGCGGGGCCTTTCCCTCCTTCACAAAAACAGGCTGTTTGGGGGTTTGGGTTTGTTTTAGGTTTTAAGTTAGTGATTCTCTCTCATCGTTGATGTTTCGATCTCTCTCTCTCTCTCTCCCTTCCTCTCTCTGAAATCAATAAAAATATATTATATATATATTAAAGACCTCAGCACCGGTGCCTTGCCTGTGGTAAGTGCTCAGTACATGTATAGTTTATCATTTAAATTATAATTTATAATTCACAAAGCGTCATGTATCTTATGGAGTCAGCAACACTGCAACCATCTATAAAGCCCCTCCGCCAGAGAACTGTGCTCTGAGACACCCTCCTGTGTTCTAGCCACGGACGGTGAGTAAACTCTGTTATTCTCCTCAATTACATCTCATCTTTTCCTAGCCACAGCTTTCCCAAGTATTTTCGTAAAAAATAAAGAAGTTTGAAAAGAATGACAGCTGAGCCATAATTGGTAACGCGGCCACTGTGGACAGCATGTCCTGGGGACGCCTCACTCACTCGGACGCCCCTGCCCGCTCCGTGCGAAGCGAGGGGAAATGGATGGCGGGAGCGGAGATGGAGGTGCCGGCGCCCCCCACCGCCCCCGTGGGGAGGAGCCAGGCCCCTGGGATTTGTCCCGATGGCTGGCGAGAGAAGAGACGGCCAGTTATGTGAACAGAGCAATTTTAAACATTCAGAAAGTTAAAATGGAAAAATGAAACACCTTTCACATCACGGTTGCTGTTTTAACTCTCCATTCCAGGCAAATCCTAAATGCGGATGAGGTCCGAAAAGAAGGTGCTGGAACTCTTCTTCATCAGCAGGAAAACCTCTAAGCCAGGTGCCTAGGAACTAGCTCATCAACTTCAAAACCCCCACCCTGTGTGAACAAGACAGACTCGTCCTGTACAATCTTCCCAGAGGTGTGTCTACCATGGGATATGCTGCCCTCGGGGCCCTGTGGCTCCTAATTCATGTGTACAATCTTCCCAGAGGTGTGTCTACCATGGGATATGCTGTCCTCAGTGCCCTGTGGCTCCTAGTTCACGTGTACAAACTTCTCAGAGGTGTGTCTACCATGGGATATGCTGCCGTCTGTGCCCTGTGGCTCCTAATTCATGTGTACAATCTTCCCAGAGGTGTGTCTACCATGGGATATGCTGTTGTCTGTACCCTGTGGCTCTGAGTTCACGTGTACAATCTTCCCAAAGGTGTGTCTATCATGGGATATGCTGCCCTCGGTGCCCTGAGGCTCCTAATTCTCATGTGTACAATCTTCCCAGAGGTGTGTCTACCATGGGATATGCTGCCCTCGGTGCCCTGTGGTTTCTATTTCAGTTTTGTTTCTTGAACTTTCCCCCCAGGCAGTGATCTGGGGCCTCAGGATGGCAGGGAGAGGGGCCACACCTGTTGTAGCTGATGGGCTTGTGGTTGCAGGGCTCCCAGACATTGGATCCCACCATGCAGCAGTCCACGTAGTAGCCGAGTAGGTCCTCTTGGTGTTTCGGCCTGTCCCATTCCACCACGACCGACGTCTTTGTGTCCCGGGATACAAGGACCCGGCCGGGTGCAGAGGGGGTGACTTCGCAGGGGAGATGGATTGGTACATGGTCAGTGATATTGGGGTTTCGGAAGACACACCACGACCTTCCAGCCCCTCTGTCCACAGGGCATGGCAGCCCAAGTTTGGGTCTTTAGATAAAATTTGGAAGAGGAGGAGGAGGATGAGGGTGGGTGAACCTTCAGAGGACCCAGGGCTGCCTGCCAGGCTTCTCTGTCCTCCCGAGGCCCCACCTGGCCCCACAGAAAAGGGGGTACAATCATGAAATTGCCCGTCCCTCCACCCGGACGACTGAGGGATCTTCCGGTGACACTGTGCTTTGGCTAAGTGGGTAGTAACTGTGTTGGAATGAAAACTGCTGACTGTGAGGCAATCAGTCACAATCCCACCCTGTTCATCTCTGAAGGAACTCAGGCTCAAGTCACGATTTGACTAGGGATCTGCGCCTCATCTAGCATTTGACATCGTCAGAGCGGGAACCTCAATCATACAGACAAAACACTCCAGTCCATAGGGACTGGGATTTTTTATAAACGTAATTGTTAATGATCTCAGAGAGGAAGGTAGAAGGAGAGATAGAAACATCAACGATGAGAATCATTGATCGGCTGCCTCTTGCACGGCCCCCACTGGTGATGGAGCCACAACCCGGGCAGGTGCCTTGAACAGGAATCAAACTGTGACCTCCTGGTTCATAGGTCGACACTCAACCACGGAGCCACGCTGGCCCGGTGGGACTGGGATTTTCTTAAAGTGACCATTGCCTAAAAGTGTGTGTAACCCATTCATCGTTCAGAAGATGAGACTTTGGAGAAATGTTGAGAACTGACCAAAGCAAGGCCGAGAGAGCTTTCCTCTCTGGTCAAATGAAACGTTCAGGCTCCTTGGGTTACAACTCCCGTGCGACACTAGTGTCTTCATCAACACAGTCCGGGCACCCGATGCCGCCTTACTCAGGGCGTGTCCAGAATCCTGGCCGCTCGCGGTACCACTCACCTATGGTGTCCTGGGCCTGGATGGGGGGCGTGATCTCCGACGGGTCGCTCAGCCCGTGCTTGTTTGCAGACAGAACGCGGAACACGTAGGGCTTCCCCTCTGCGAGGTCAAAGACGGCGTAGCGCGGCGACCTGACCGCCGTCTGGGCGTTGACCCGCTGCCAGCTGCCGCTCCCGACCATGGACTGCGGGAGAAGGGGGCTGTGACAGGGCCGACCCCCAGTTGCCGCTCCCGACCATGGACTGCGGGAGAAGGGGGCTGTGACAGGGCCGACCCCCAGTGGCCGCTCCCGACCATGGACTGTGGGAGAAGGGGGCTGTGACAGGGCCGACCCCCAGCTGCCGCTCCCGACCATGGACTATGGGGAGAAGGGGACTGTGACAGGGCCGACCCCCAGTGGCCGGTCCCGACCATGGACTGCGGGAGAAGGGGGCTGTGACAGGGCCGACCCCCAGTTGTCGCTCCCGACCATGGACTGCGGGAGAAGGGGGCTGTGACAGGGCGACCCCCCAGTGGGCCGGAGGGAACCGTCCGTCTTAGCGACCAAATCATACGGTGGGCTGCCCATCCTCTACCCCGACAAGGGGCCCTCGAAATGTCTTTTATGATGTGTATGGAAAGGGAAGCCGATTTGAGAAGGTAAGAAAGTATTCAAAGTTGAAAATGCTGACCAGTAAAATTCTTACTCGAAAGCGAGCAATCATGTAACATAACTTTGGTTCCACAGACACAGTTACAGCTTCTCCTGACGGCAGAGGCTTTGCCAGGCAGCCCCCAGCCCAGGGTGGCCCCTGCCACAGCAGCAGCTGACACCTGCGCTTCAAGTGCAAGGGCAGGCGATCACAAGACGGGATGCACAGCACGTGGAGAGGATGTACGTTTTGTTGGGTATATCTGTGTGTGCATGTGTATCTGTATGTGCATGTGTGTCTGTGTGTGTATCTGTGTGTGTGCATCTGTGTGTGCATGTGCATCTGTGTGTGCATGTGTGTCTGTGGATGCATGTGCGTCTTCGTGCATGTGTGTCTATGGGTGCATGTGTGTCTGTGGGTGCATGTGTGTATGTGGGTGCATGTGTATGTGTGTGCATGTGTGTGCGTGTGTGTATGTGTGTCTGTTGTGTGCATGTGTGTGGGGGGGTGCATGTGATACGTGTGTTCCAGGGCCACAACATGCCAGCTATTTCTTTCTTTTTGTTGTTGTTTTTCATCTTCACCAAGGATATTTTTCCCGTTGTTTTTTAGGGAGAGTGTAGGGAGGGAGGGGGAGGGAGGGAAACATCGATGTGAGAGATTCACATCGACTGGTTGCCTCCCCACACGCACCCCAACCAGAGGGGGGACCCCGCCTGCAACCGAGGTACACGCCCCTGACCAGAACCGAACCCACAACCCTTCAGTCCATGGGCGGACACTCCAACCACTGAGAAAGCCTGGCCGGGGCCACCAGCTGGTTCTCTCCCTCCAGAGGTAGGCCTGCCTGACCTGCGGTCACCTGAAGTGGGAGTCCCTCTACACGGTCGCCACCCAGTGGCCACGCGGCTTCTGAACAGATCACCCTCAGGGTCGCAGCCTGGAGTTTGGGGGGAGACTAAGTCTGGTGCCTCCGGATAGGTGGGGACTCAGCCTCCTGACGGGGGACGGGCTTGCTCATGGAGGGAGGGGGGCCGAGCCTGGCCAGTCCCCGGAGGCCGAGGGGACCTTGCTCACCACCCGCAGGTGGGCCGGGCA